ATAAACAAGCATGCTCGAAGTTTTCCATATGCTTCCATTTGGATAGCCCAACTTGAATTTGCGAGAGCCTTTGTTAAATTAAAAATCAAAATCACTCAAAAGTATGAAATTGAAATTCACCTAAAAATAAAAGGATCATAGCATAATATTGGAACTCAATGTTTCCAAGGTAACTCAAGGGCTTTGTCATTGTAAGTTTCAAATATCTTCTTTTAAACCCTCCCGTCCAAATATTGGTTTCATGAGAAATCGTTTTATGTAAGCTAATTTTATACATCTTCTAATTCAATATATCTACTCTATCCACATAGGGGGCAAGTGCCGTATGCATATTATTAAGATCTCTCAACTATCAGTTTCTTCCTTTTTCGGTACATAGTTTTCCTCTCGTCAATAATAGTGACTCCTCTCGCCGTGACCTTCTCTTGAATTCGCGATATGTTGCAATTTGTATTACTATTAAGACATTTTCTCGAAAATAGTTCATTACTTATTCAGATTAATGTTCTAAAAATAATACACATTGCAACATAACGTACAATTTTTTATAAGTAATGTCCTAAAAATGATTCTAATTACACCATAAGGTACTATTTTTTAAAGGAATAAGTTAGTGTACCGAAAATAGACTTCAGAAAAGTAAACAAACCAAAATTGAAATTAGTCCCCCCTCAACTATCAGTTTCTTCCAAACTGAAAACTCCCCATAAACAAGCTTATAAACCAAGCACCACCCACCAAACCCAAAATTGCATAAGGTAAACAACAAACAAATAATAGAAAAAAGTATATCAAATTCCCAAACCATACTAAAAAAATGGCATCAAAATCCTCCAATTCGGCTCCCATAAAAACAGTCATCGTTCTAGTCCAAGAAAACCGGTCCTTCGACCACATGTTCGGGTGGATGAAAACCCTCAACCCAGATATCGACGGCGTGACGGGCTCCGAGTCCAACCCCCTGCCAACCAGGGGCCCAATCTTCTTTGGGCCCCGATCTACTTATGTGGAACCGGACCCTGGTCACTCCATCCAGGACGTCTTTGAGCAGGTGTTTGGAGTCGAGTGGACCCAAGAATTGGATGTCAACAAAATACGGCCCGACATGCAAGGTTTCGCCAAGAACGCAGAGCGCAAAATGAAAGGGATGTCTGGCACGGTCATGAATGGGTTCCGGCCGGAGAGTTTGCCCGTGTACAAGGAGCTGGTGGCTGAGTTTGCCGTGTGCGACCGATGGTTTGCGTCCGTGCCAGGGTCCACGCAGCCCAACAGGCTGTTTGTGCACTCCGCCACGTCACATGGCCTCACCAGCAATGACAAGGAGCTTTTGATTAAAGGATTGCCTCAAAAGACCATATTTGAGTCGCTGGAGGAAGCGGGTTGTACATTTGGCATATACTATCAGTACCCTCCCCCCACACTTTTCTACCGGTAATATTTGTAATACTATTATTTTTCTACAAATATATTCGTCCAAAATAAGTTATTTTGATTAACTAAATTTAAATTTAAAAAAAAAAAAAATAGTATGATTATATTAAAATAAAATAAATTAATATTGATTTGATATAAAAGTATGAGAGAGATGATATGAACTGATGATTAGTTAAAATTATGCAATTGAATAAATAGTAAATTAAAAGTGAATTAAAAGTGATGTGACGTGTAAGAATAATTGATTGATTTTATTTAATTATACTGATAATATTAACTATTAACAATAATGAAATGAAGTTAAAATTGACTTAGATTTTGAGTATGAACTAAATACAAATTGAGATATTTGATATACAACGACACTCTAATGTTTGTATTATAAAATATGTGTACTTACTCTAATATTTTTATTTTTTTATCATTAATGTTTTTTTCATTATTAATATAAGGAAACGGGTGCTTAATTTAATGAGCACGTGAACACATAGAACTGACGAATATAATAATATTGTAGTCTCATTTAAGAGAAATGTTACCTGTTACGGAATTATTCTGTCAGGATTTGTAACCATTAGATTATCATGTAACCGTTAGATCATCATGTAACCGTCAAAGATAGTTGATTTAACGGTTACAAATCCAGACGGAATGATTCCGTAACTAGACTGTAGCATCTTCCCTCATTTAAATAGAATGTTGTGATTATAAGGGACCGAAGCTAACTTATTAATTTATTTGCAGGAACCTGAGGAGACTAAAGTACATAATTCGTAATTTCCATCAATTTGATCTTACTTTCAAGAGGCATTGCGAGCAGGAAAAATTACCCAACTACGTGGTGATAGAACAACGATATTTTGACCTAAAACTATTGCCGGCCAACGACGATCACCCCTCACATGATGTGTTCGAAGGCCAGAAATTTATCAAGGAAATCTACGAAGCGTTGAGGTCAAGTCCTCAGTGGAAGGAGATGCTATTTGTAATCACTTATGACGAGCATGGTGGGTTCTTTGACCATGTGCCTAGTCCGGTCGAAGGAGTTCCCAGCCCGGATGGCATCACAGGTCCCGAGCCTTACAATTTTCAGTTCAACCGGCTAGGAGTTAGGGTTCCTACTATCTTCATTTCTCCATGGATTGAGAAAGGAACTGGTACGTTGCTAGCTAGCGAATGTAGTGAATATTTATTAAATTATAACTACACCTTTAATTGGAAACATATATCGATCAAATTATATGTCAAACTATTAGAACCGGGGAAGAGGGTGCGGTCCCACCAAGTGACGTGCACCATAAGAGGGTGAGTCTAGATGCACTTTAGTGAGTAGTGGCGGATCTAACAAATTGAGTGAGGTGGGGCTAAAATTTTGTGATAACTGCAAAACGAAAATAAAAAGGGGCACAAGATAAGACATGAAAAATCACTACAAGAAAATAGAGTTCTAGTGAAGAATGTTTTTGTCACTATGTTGTCACTATATCTACTGTCACTATATCTACAATTGTTGTCACTATATCTACTGTCAGTATATCTACAATTGTAGATATAGTGACAATAATTGTAGATATAGTGTCACTATATCTACAATTGTAGATATACTGACAGTAGATATAGTGACAACAATTGTAGATGTAGTGATAGTAGATATAGTGACAACATAGTGACAAAAAAATTTTTCACTAGAACTCTATTTTTTTGTAGTGAATTAACATTACATATAATTTTTTATTTTATAATAGTTCAAACTGAAATACTAAACTGCCCTACAATTTGTATATTTCAGTATTACTAGTAAAGTGCACGTGCGATGCACGTGGTGTCGAATGATTTTCGCAGAGTAAGTTTGTAAAATAAATTAATTTATTTATTAAAGGTGTGACAAACTCGTGTCAAACATATATCGAATTTGGGCGCTCTAGCCAAAATGTGGGAATAGTTAGAAGTTTACACCCATTTTTTTTACTTTTTTTAATATGAATTGTTTCAAATTTATATATGGAAAACATACCACAAGTTTATCTTATGTTATTTTATACTTAATAAAATTGATTTAACTATATTTGTATATCCTATATTATATTATATTTCATTACAATTTTTAAATTAAATATTTACAATTTATAAATTAATTAATAATATTGTCGAGTCAACTTTTGTTCATAAAATTTTTAAAAATATATTATTTTCATTGATTTGCTTATGTTGAATTGAGAAAAGTTATGTTTTTTTAGTTATATATAGGGAGGATATAAGATTTCTTATATTTTTTATGTAGTATTTATTGAGTAATTTTGTTTACAATTCTTCTATTAAAAATATATTAAACACGTGAACTGTTTAGTTCCTGTAATTTATTTTTTTCAGAAATCACTCATTATTTTATCCCAATATTACCTATTAATTTATCAATTGAGTTATATTTCTTACATATTAAATATTATATAATTAAATATTTCTTATTTTATCTGTTCAATATGATACTTATATATTATATTAAAAAAACTAATATAGTAAATAAAAAAGTTATTTAAAATTAGAATAATAAAGATTTTTTTTTTCTAATCTACATGCATAAATGTACAAATAACTATTGTCTATCACCTCAAATTTACATATAAAACTAATAAGAACAAAAAACTAACAAGCGTTTAACAACTCAGTTCGATTATATCGATAAGTATATTTTTAGAAGGTTTATATTTAGTTATATTAATTATATTATTTTTGTTTATTAGTTTGTTTTATATTTATTAGTACGTATTTATTAGTACGTGTCACAACTTAGTTATTATTCATATTATTTCTTATATTTAATATTGTTTTAAAACGTTATCTTGTTCTTTCACATGTTCTTAACTGTAGATTTGTCAAAAAAGACATAATATAAAGTATAGAATTTTTTCGATCATTTGCCTCATTATATATCAAATATTTGTATATCCTATATTATATTATATTTAATTACAATTTTTAATTAATATTTTAATTAAATATTTACAATTCATAAATTCATTAATAATATTGTCGAGTCAACTTTTGTTCATAAAATTTTTAAAGATATATTATTTTCATTAATTTGCTTATGTTGAATTGATAAAAGTTATGTTTTTTAATTACATATAGGGAGGATATTAGATTTCTTATATTCTTTTATGTAGTATTTATTGAGTAATTGTGTTTACAATTTTTCTATTAAAAATATATTACACACGTGAACTTTTTAGTTCCTACATTTTTTTTTTCATAAATCACCCATTATTTTATCCCAAGATTACCTATTAATTTACCAATTGAGTTTCAATTCTTACATATTAAATATTATATAATTAAAATATTTCTTGTTTTATCTGTTCAATATGATACTTATATATTATATTAAAAAAATTAATATAGTAAATAAAAAAGTTATTTAAAATTAGAATAATATAGATTTTTTTTTCTAATCTACATGTATAAATGTACAAATAACTATTGTCTATCACCTTAAATTTACACATAAAATTAATAAGAACAAAAAACTAACAAGCGTTTGACAACTCAGTTCGATTACATCGATAAGTATATTTTTAGAAGGTTTATATTTAGATATATTAATTATATAATTTTTGTTTATTAGTTTGTTTTATATTTATTAGTACGTGTCACAACTTAGTTATTATTCATATTATTTCTTATATTTAATATTGTTTTAAAACTTTATCTTGTTCTTTCACATGTTCTTAACTGTAGATTTGTCAAAAAAGACATAATATATAGTATAGAATTTTTTCGATCATCTGCCTCATTATATATCAAATATTTGTATATTCTATATTATATTATATATAATTACAATTTTTTAATTAATATTTTAATTAAATATTTACAATTTCTAAATTCATTAATAATATTGTTGAGTCAAGTTTTATTCATAAAATTTTTAAAAATATATTATTTTCATTAATTTGCTTATGTTGAATTGAGAAAAGTTATGTTTTATTTTAATTATATATAGGGAGGATATAAGATATGATGGTATTAATATATTACCAATTTGTCATTAGAAACATGTGAAAGTAAGAGTTTTTTAGGTAGTTCATTTTTTAATTAAAAATATAAATAAAATATAATGTGTATTAGTGTATTACTAATTTGCCATTAAATTTATGTCAAAGTAAGGGTTTTTTAGACATTATGAATTGTTACAAAAACACTCCTCCTTTTAAAGTAGTATAATATAATATAGATATATAGATATAGATATAGATATAGATATAGATATAGATTATACATTCTAATGACTTAAAATGTATTTTTATCAATACAAATTTATTTATCTACCAATTGCAAACTCATTAAGTTGCATATATGTCAATATCTCATTATTAATCAATCACATGTCATATAATGTATGTCAATCTCTTAAAATTTTAATACTCGCCGTGGGTAGGAAAGCGGTATTATTTTTCACTATGTTTGATCAAAGAATTTGTTATAATTTTATCTCTTAGTTGATAAATTTATTATAATTATTATTATTGTAGTAACATGTAAATTCATTATAAATTTAAGGATACAAAGGATAAAAAAGACATTGCAATAAGAAAATTTTAGTAAGATAAAAGGAGGAAAATCAAAACACATAATTAATAAACAACTTCATTTATAGATTTTTTTTTTTAAATTTACTTATATTTATTTTCTTAAAAATATATATTATAAAAATATGAAATTCCAGATGGATCCTTTTTTGTTAGTGACGTTTCATGCCAAAATCAATTGGTGATGGGAGGACTAGCTCAATAGGCTTATAAACTCGACTCATTTACCCTGTAGAATCAATGTGAGACAACTTACAAGTGATATAAGATTATTACTTGTTCATGTGACATATTATTATATTAAGCTATTACTGGTTCTATTACTTGACATTTTTTGTCTACGTTACGAAATTCGACTTGACAACACTTTGATGTGGTTGGCGATTTTGTGCAGTGTTACACGGGCCTTCAGGACCATATCCCACATCTGAATTTGAGCATTCGTCTATACCTGCAACTATCAAAAAGATGTTCAATCTAAGGGAGTTTCTAACTGAGCGCGACGCATGGGCGGGTACTTTCGAGACAGTCATTAGCAGAAAGAACCCGAGAACCGATTGCCCAGGTTGAATGAGTTAATCACACGATGATATAAGTCGTAAATTAACTAGTCCAATTTCTGAAAAAAGAGTTCAATACTATTACAGCTAACCCGTTAATCTCAATCCAAAATCAATGTCGAAGATATTTTTCGCCATGTTCAAGGTTAATCAATTGTTTTTGGTGTAATTTTGTCAAACGTCAACAATGAAAATTAGTTAAGTAAATGTAGGAAAATTTTCAATTTTGGTCTGTTTACTTGTCTAAAGTCCATTTTTGGTAATCTAACTTACTCCTTGTCAAAAATAGTAAGTTATGTTGCAATTTGTATCATTTTTTGAGATATTATTGATAAAAAACAGTACGTTATGTTACAATTTGTATCATTTTTAGGACACTATTTATCTCCAAAGATAAAGAACCATTTTTTTGGGATAATTAATGTGTCAATAGTGATTCAAATTGCAACATAACGTATTATTATTGATGAAAGGAAAGTTAGTGTACCAAAAAAATGACTTTAGACAAGTAAACGGACCAAAATTGAATTGTTTGCAGTAAACATATGTAAGTAACACTAGCGACATGATTATTAAGCACAGAAATCCTACCGGAGCCGGTCAAACTACGTGAGGCCGAGGCTAAGGACGAAGCAAAACTAAGCGATTTCCAAGAGGAGCTAGTCCAGCTGGCTGCGGTCTTATGTGGGGATCACACGAAGGACACTTTCCCAAGAAAACTAGTTGACAGCATGACGGTGTCTGGTGGAGCCGACTACGTGAAGGACGCATTCGGTAAGTTCTTGGAAGAGTGTGAGAAAGCCAGGCAAAATGGAGCTGATGAGTCCATCATTTGTTTGCCAGGATGGGATTGCAATTCTGATAATAGTCCACCAGTTCCAAAGTCTAAATCCTTTGCTTCTAAGTTGTGTTCATGCATTGGTTGTGGGGATCATTGATCATTGAGTGTTGCTGGGTAATATATCTATAGCTCGTTCATGTTTCAGAACATAAATGAACAGTTGATTTGTGTTTGATAAATATTGTGTGTTCGGAAAGATCAATAAATTTGTTAGACAATAAGTTTCGTTTGTTTTTAAATTTTATGTGGGTTTTCATTGAAACAACAGATAATTTTTTTTGGTACAGGGACCTTCCGGTTTTCGAATCCACAAGGGAACCGACTAATCCGGAATGTGAATAATTAGAATGTGAGCCAAGGATCAAACTGGACCAAACAATAGTCACAAGTGAATTGCTATTTACCGT